CAAAAACTAAAGCCCTGTTGTCATTGTTATTAATTTACTCAAATTCCTCATTCCTTTTACAATTGCAACTAAGCCTTTTTCTTCCCCTTTTCTTTCCTTATCGTCACAGAAAAGAACCAAAGCAAATAACTGAGATTTCAGCTCCATTAATTTTTCAGGGCACCATAAATTAAAGAGCAATTGCAATGCAGTCAATTTCTGCGGGAAAATAAGTCTCCGTGATTGTGCTTTTAGTCTAATTAAGGCTGGAAGGCTAAGTAGCGCTATTAATACCCAGAAGCACAAACTATTACCAAGGAAGGTACCAGAGAAAGAGGCAGCCCAGGAGGCTGAGAAATGCAGGGACGCCAGTCAGGGAAGACCAGACCTTGGCAAAGAGGCCAGGTCCTGTCGACAACCATGGCAAAGGACAGCCAGGAATCTCCATTTGGAGGTCCCTGACCTGGACAGTCCCTGATGGTAGAAATTTATCATTTATTCATCTAACCAACAGTCTGCCATCCATCCATCACCCATCCATCCACCATCCACCCATCCATCCACCATTCATCCATCCATCATCTATCCATCCACCCATCTATCTGTCCACCCATCTGTCTACCCATCCATCCATCACCCATCTGTCCACCATCCACCCATCCATCCACCATCCATCCATCCATCCATCCATCCATCATCTATCCATCCACTCCATCTATCTGTCCATCCACTCCATCTATCTGTCCACCCATCTGTCTACCCATCTATCTATCACCCATCCATCTACCATCCACCCATCCATCCACCATCCATCCACATCCATCCATCAACTGTCTATCCACTGCATTCCATTCGTCCACTCACATCCATCTGTCCACCCATCCATCCATCCCCATCCATCCACCTTCCACCCACCTTTCCGATCCATTCATCTCCATCCACCCATCCACCTATCCATCCATCCATCCATCCATCCATCCACTCATCCATCCATCCATTCTTCCATCATCCATTCATCCATCATCCATCCATCCATCTACCCATCATCCATCATCAATACATCCATCCATCCACCCACCATCCATCCATCCACCATTCATCTATCCACCCATCCATCATTCATCCATCCATCCATCCATCCATCCATCCATCCATCCATCCATCTATCTATCCATCATCTACTCCACCCATCCACCCATCCATCTATCCATCTATCCATCTATCCATCCCCATTCATCCATTTATCCATTCATCCATCCATCCCCATCCATCCATTTATCCATCCATCCATCCATCTACCCATCATCTATACATCTATTCATCCATTCATCCATGTGTCCATTTCCTCACCCATCCATCCACCCACTCATCCTCGGATCTGTCCATCTAACTAATATTTTCAGCCAGGCAGGTGCAATTTAGATTAAAATGGTGAAAAGACCAGACACCTTCCTGCCCTCAAGGAACTTACTCCTAAGTGTGGTGTATTGTGGTAATAACTAAATGACTGCACAAATATATAGTTACCTGACATGGTTTGGCTCTGTGTTCTCACCCAAATCTCATCTCAAATTGTAATCCTCACATGTGAGGGAGGAACCTGTGGAGGTGATTGATCACGGGGCAGTTTCCCCATGCCGTTGTTGTGTGATAATGAGAATTCTCATGAGATCTGGATGGTTTAAAAGTGGTTTTGCATTTCCTGACTTGTGCTCTCTCTCCTGATGCCTTGTGAAGATGACGCCTGCTTCCTCTTCGCCCCACCGTGACTGTAAGTTTCTGAGGCCTCCCATCCATGCAGAACTTTGACACCAAACTCTTTTCTTTATAAATTAATCAGTTTCAGGTAGTTCTTTAGAGCAGTGTGAAAACGGACTAATAGATACCCATTGTGATCAGTGTTGAGAAAGAGAAGCACAGGAATATAGAAGAGTGTGAAATACTGGGGCTCAAGCTGCCGACTCTGGGTGGTACAGGGAAGGCTGCTGACTTGGGCAGCTTGTGTTTGCCTTCCAGGTCCATGATGTCTCTTCAACCTTCTCTGATCCTGGAGCTTGAATTTGGCGTAGACAGATCCCTCCCTTCTCTGGCCCTGAGACTGACGTGTGTAGACAGATTCACAGCCTTTCCTTTAGCCTCTGATTGATTCTGCCTGTGGAAGCCTCAGTGTGCATTGGAGAGAGAGAGAGCCATGTGCTATTCCTCTCGTTCCCTGACTGTTCAGCCACAGTTTGGTTCAGTTGCTCTTCTCAGAGCCAGGCCTCTACTGACCCTTCCCACCTGTGGGATTCCACACCTCCTGTTGGGCAGAGGTGCTAGGTTCAGAGTGGCCTCTAAAACGTATCCACATCCTAATCCTTAGAACCTGGGACCATTACCTCACAGGGCAGGAAGGGAGCCTGCAGATGGGATTGCTGAGGTCTCCAGATGTGAAGATCACCCCAGGCTATCTGGGGGGCTCTAAACGAAAGCCCTGAGTCCTCAGAAAGTGAGGGGAGGAAGATTCACACACACCCACACACGTCCACATACACTCACACACTCACGCTCACACACACCCACATATGCTCATGTACACTCACACAAACACACACTCACATAGGCTCTCACACACACCCACACACACTCACCCTCACACACACACACGTTCATAGGTTCTCACACCCACACACGCCGCATACCCCCCCACTCATCTACACTCACACAAATTACTACATGTTCCCACATATAGCTTCTCTCACACACAACCTCCACACACGCACACGCCTGACATGCTCACAGTTTCACACTCATAAACACCTACACACTCACATACACTCACAATGCACATTTACGTACACACCCCCGTCATATGCAATTTTCACACTCATACACTTCCATACAAAGTAACACCACACCTACACTCAAGACCACACCTACACTCACACATTCTCACAAACACACCCACACACCCAACAGAACTCACATACACCCTACACACACTCATACAATCACACACACCCCTAACTCACACCCACAATTTACACACTAAATACACCCTCACACCCACTCACACTCAAACACCCACCCACACACATACCCACACACTACACTCTCACAATGCACATTTACGTACACACCTCCCCACACATGCACTTTCACACTACATCGCACATGTGCTAACACCCACACCCACACTCACATTCACACCTACACTCACATTCACAAACACACCCACACACCCACGAACTCACATACACCCTACACACACTCATACAATCACACATACCCCCAACTCACACCTACAATTCTACAGCCACACTCAAATACACCCTCACACCCACTCACACTCAAACATTCCTTTACCCACACACATACTCCACCCACAAATCACCTCCTGCAGCCCACACCTGACAATCAGGCCCTTCTAACCCCTCTGAGACGCACAGGTTCCCCAGGGCATGTGTTCCCCCTTGCTGCACTGAGTGATAACCCAGCCTGCTCCTCCATAGGTGAGCTCCGGGGGTCTTAGGCTGCAGGGCTTTGACAGGCCAGCAGGTCGAATGTTTAGAAACCACTCAACATGGGAGATGGTTGCCCAGAGAGCTGACACTGTCTTTGCTTTAGTACTTAGTGAACATCCGCAGAAATATAATGCTAGGTGCTGGAAAAGCAGGTGGTGGGTTCAGACCTAGAACCCAGTCTCAGCTTGCCTGAGTCAGGTGTAGGGACAAAAGGAGTAAATGGTACGGAATGACACAGTGGGGCCTGGGCTGTGACGGAGGAAGGCACAGGGCTGGGGGTCCTCAGAGGAGGCACCAGTGAGCCTGAAGTGGAGGCAGAAGACTTCCTGGAGGAGGAAGTGCATGACTGAGTCTTTGAGAAGGAGCAGGAATCAGCCTGTGGAGAAGTGAGGCACAGCACAGGGAACAGTGCGAGCAAACGCACAGACTGAGGATCAAAAGCCAGGGACTGGGCTCAGCAGAGAGCAGTGGAGACTGGGCAGGGCTGAAGGTCAGTGCTGGTGGTGGCAGAAGCCTCTTGTCTGGCCTGCTTTAACAGTGGGGGCTGGGATGCCCATGCCTGCCCTGGCACCTAAGTCCCTGGTGGCCCTTGGCACAGAGCGTAGAGTGGGGAGCTGGGGTGATCAAGTGTGGCTGAGACAGGGCAAGGAGGCGGCTGGGGAGCAAGCCACAAATCACCTCCTGCAGCCCACACCTAACAATCAGGCCCTTCTAACCCCTCTGAGATGCTCAGGTTCCCCAGGGCATGTGTTCCCCCTTGCTGCACTGAGTGATAGCCCAGCCTGCTCCTCCATAGGTGGAGGGCCTTCTGGGTAGAGGGCACCCAGCAGCTGTCCTCAAGATGCTTTCTTTGGGGAAACTTTGGACTTGATTTACAGGATCCCAGAGGGCAGAACAGACCCAGTGGATGGGAGTCCGATGAAGCAGACTCTGTCTCAGGGCCAGAAAAAACAGGCCAGTGACTGGGGCTACTCAGCAGAGGGCTAGGCTGTTTCAGGGATGCTGAGTTCCCCATCCATGAAGGTGAAGAAAAGCTGGATGGATTGGTTGTGTGCTAGAGTTTCTGAATTAGCTGGGACCACGTGGCTGCTGAGGGTGGGCCCACTTGTGACCTGAGGGCACACGCAGCAGGGTCCTGGTCACAGGGCTGTGGACAGCCAGTGCCTGGCGGCCAAGAGCCGGGACCAGAAGCAGTCCTGGTCAGTTCCAAAGTCACTGATAAAGCCAAATGGGGCTAAATGGGCTTAGGTTTGGGGACCCCGAGTGGCTGGGAGGTTCATGGTGGCCAGAAGGGAGGTGGAGCCTCCATGTCCCTGAGCCCCATGGCTGGGTTTGCAGGGGCTTCTGTGGATGCCTGTAGCCACAGCTACGGTCAGAAACCGTGACCTGCAAAGTAGCACTCGAAAGTGAAATACCCGTTTTATTGCCTCTTTTCTGAGCAATTCCATTTTGGCTGCGGGCAGCTCATCCACCACGTCGCCTATTGCCAATTTCCCAAAGTTCCGGAAGCAACCTTACCTTAAAGAAGATGTAATCGTCCTGCACGGTCAGAGACCCGTGGTCAATAGGGCCTGCGAACGGGGCTGCCGGCAGCTTCTCGGAGCAGTTGTGGATCGGGCAGGTGACGTACCGAAAACCTACAGGAGAGAGGCTGGCTCCTGGGAGAGGCGCCGGCCCAGGCAGTCAGACTCCAGCCGGAGCCAGAGACAGCCTGAGACATGTGCTGGGCTCCATCCTCCCCCTCAGCACCACTGCGGTGCGGCCGTGGGTTGAATTCAAAGGCCACGCGATGACACCTGCGGCCGAGGGTGTCATCCTGGACATGGGCCACCTGCACTCTGACATGAGCTCCTTCAGCCCTCAGGAAGGTGTTAGGTATACTCTGGAGCCTGCCGTCCCCTGCAGGAGGGGTCAGCACAGCCCCCGAGCGGTGGGCACACCTCACACCATGCCCAGACATGCACGGCCCCCACACCCTCCCGGTCTCTCACACCTGAGCAGGGGTGAGGGTGGGTGGGGCTCAAGGGTTCTTTTCCCCAAAATTTTAAGCACATGCTTCTACCCTTTTCCACATGTTTATGGTTGAGCAATACTGAATGCATGCTTTGCCAGGAGCTGCTGATTTTAAGTCCTTCTATTTCCCAGAGAGACAGAATTATGTGGAGGGCTGGAGCCTGGAGGCCTCAGGAAACTCTGCGTTCCAGCTTGCTTAGGCCAGGGCAAGATTATCGTGAGGGACCAAGGGGAGAGGGCACCTCCTCCTCCTCTTCTCCGTTTTTCCCTCCCCCTCCTCCTCTACCTCTTCCTCCTCCCTCTGACTCTGGCCCTGGGTGATCCGGCGGCATGGAGAATGGTTAAGGAAGGGTTTAGGAACAGAAGGCCTACCCCCTAAGCTCAGCCTCAGGTTTCCTGCACTGAACAATGGGGTAGGCCTACCTGTTAGGCTGTTCAAGGGGGAGGCGGAGGCAGTGTACACAGAGGAGTGCGTGGGCAGCAGCGCTAGGCCACTGCCAAGCCCTCCTGAGCCATGCCCATGTTCCCTTGAAACTGCCTGGTGTGCCCTGGCTCAGCACTGAACTTCTACAGCTGGAGACCTGCAGCGGGAAATGACTAGCTCAGGGACATGCTCAGTTGACAATCCTACTCACTCACTCACTCCCATTCACCTGCTCACTCCTCATTCTTTTTCAACTCACTCATTTACCCACTCACTCAATCACCTACTCACTCACATTCACACTCACTCACTCATTCACCTACTCACTCACTCACTCATTCACCCACTCACTCATTCACCTACTCACTCACTCACTCATTCACCTACTCACTCACTCACTCATTCACCTCTCACTCACTCACTCATTCACACACTCACTCATTCACCTGCTCACTCACACTCCCCCTTCCATTCCTCACACTCATTCACCCGCTCACTCACTATAATTCACCTGCTCACTCATTCATTCATGTGCTCACTCTCCTCATTCACTTGCTTACTCTTTCGTTTGCTCACCTCATTCCTCATTCAATCACTCCTTCACTCACTCATTCACTCACTCACTCATTCACTCATTCACCCAGCTCACTCACTCACTCATTCCACTCGCTCACTCATTCCACCCACTCCACTCCTCTCATTCCTACTCACTCACTTGTTCACTCACTCCCATTCACCCACTCCTCACTCATTCACCTACTCACTTTACTCATTCACTCACTCATTCCTGCCCACTCACTCACTCATTCACCTACTCACTGCTCCTACCTGCTCACTCATTCATTCACACACTCACTCATTCACTTTCACTTTTCAAGCACTCCTCCCTCGCTCCTCACTCATTCAATCCTCCTTCGGCTCATTTTACTAGCTTCATTCACTCACTCACATTCACTCACTCATTCACTTGCTGCTCACTCACTCATTCACCCACTCACTCATTCACCTACTCACTCACTCACTCACTCATTCACCTGCTCACTCATTCACCTACTCACTCACTCACTCATTCACTCACTCATTCAATACTGCTCACTCATTCACCTGCTCACTCACTCATTCACCTGCTCACTCATTCATTCACCTGCTCACTCACTCATTCACTCGCTTACTCACTCACTTGCTCCACTCCATTCACTCACTCATTTCTTTCCTTCACTCATTTTACTAACTCATTCACTCCTCACTCATTCCTGCTCACTCATTCACTCATCCTTTCAATTACTCACTCACTTATTCAACTTCTCAATCACTCATTCATACTCACTCACTCATTCACAATCATTCCCTCACTCACTCACCTATTCACTCACTCGCTCCTCATGCTCACTCACTCACCTATTCTTTCATTCATTCCCTCACTCACTCACTCATTCATCCATCCCACCTTGGTTTAGGCTCTCAGTGTTCCAGGCCTAGAGCCAACACAACAAACTAGAAGACCCTCTCTCAGGCTGATGGGTTGTATGCTGGGGTATAGTAGCCCTGATATTAGTGCTTGCCAATTTCTGTGGTATAAACACTCCCACATGGGCGCCACAGGAGCCACTTAGATGAAATTGGTGAACATGGAGTTGAAAGAGCTGTGAACAGTGGGCCAGCTGAGCTCTGGGAAAGGGCAGATGGCTAACCCTGACAATGTGTGGTGTGATGCAGTGAGCTCTCTGTAGCATGTTATTTTTGCAACATTTTTGCCAGTGGGCTACTCAGGGGCAACCCTGGCATCTGGCTTATTCATTCAGCAGCCTTACTGGGGAGACAGGTGATCAGTAGCCCCAACTGGTACTCAAGGAGCTCCAGGCCCTGGAGAGTGTGCAGAGCTGGGATGATGGAGCCAGCAGAGAGGTGGCTGGCAGGTGTGTGAGGTCAAAAATAAAAATTTCCAAAGGAAGAAGCATTCCCAGTAGGGATGGAGAGAGGAGTGCACAGCCAGGACCTTGTGACCCCAGGCAAACCTGGACTGCCTCTGAGCTGTGTTGTCCTGGTTATCAACACAGAACAGTAATAGTACTAGCCGCCTGCCTGGAGTGTGGCGGGGTGGGGGGTGGGGAGGAGTGAAGGCCATGCCTAGCAGCTGACCCTGCCTGAGCTTAGCCATGGGGATCACACCCAGCAGCTGACCACACCCCAAAAGCAGCCGTGACCCGTGTTGAGAACTCTGCATTCACTTATTTCCTTATCACAATTTATTTCACAGGCCAGGAGACTGGGGTGACTGGCCTTGGGCCCTGAGTTGGCCAGTCGCAGGACTGAGGCTGACGCCTGCATTTCTGTTCTAATGGTGACACATCTGGCTCAGGTGATCTGGGGAGGATGTCTCTGCGGGGGACTCAGCTGCTCTGCCCTCCTCCAGGCACCCTCCTGTCACACAGCAGCCACGCGGCCCTGGGCAGGAAGTTGGCTGGGTCCAGGGTGGGCAGCCCCGTGCCCCACCTGCTCCCGACCTCCCACACTTTGCACTTGCCAGGGGGTCAGGGGCTGGTGGAGTGGGAAGCGCCTGCACTCTGTGCTCCAGGAGCCAGAACAAATTGCCCTCTTAATAGACTTTTCCACTGGAGTGGAGCTCCTTGACTTCCATTCATCCCCAGCTGGAAAGGCAAGCACGACATTTTAAAATCATGCCACATGCGGGAAGCGCAGTGAGGCCGGCTGTGTAGGGCCAGCCACTGGGGACAAGCGACTGAACACAGGCGCTGCCGGCTGTGTGTCGGGCGCGAGGTGACTCAGGGATACCTGGTGCCCGTGCACTGCCCGACTTACCTCACCGGGTCTGGGGCTTCCATGTGCTGGACAAGTCGGGGTCAGCGTCCACCCCAGACACAGCCCTGGAAAGAAAGAGCCGAGACTGGGGTCAGATGGAGTCACTCAGCTAACCCCCCAACAGCTCCCCACCCCATGCATGCGTGGCCTCTGCCAGGGGTCAGGGGCTGAGTGAGTGGGAAACACTCAATGCTCAGGAGCCAGAACAAATTGCCCTCTTAATAGACTTTTCCACTGGAGTGGAGCTCCTTGACTTCCATTCATCCCCAGCTGGAAAACAAGCACATTTAAAATCATGCCACATCGAGACGCAGTGAGGCCGGCTGTGTAGGGCCAGCCACTGGGGACGAGCGACTGAACACAGGCGCTGCCGAGCTGTGTCGGGCGCGAGGTGACTCAGGGATACCTGGTGCCCGTGCACTGCCCGGCTTACCTCCACCGAGGTCCTGGGCTTCCATGTGGACCAAGTCAGGGTCAGCGTCCACCCCAGACACAGCCCTGGAAAAGAAGAGCCGAGACTGGGGTCGGGAATGGAGTCACTGTGCCCACCCCCCAGCGGCTCCCCACACCCCATGCAGCCATGTGGCCTCCCTGGTTCTGAAGCCACACTTGCTCTTTGGGTCCAGAGGGCGTCACCTCCCCGGGACCCCACCTGCTCTTGGGATGCTTGGAGTCTCTGTGTCTTCCTTGCATGAGTTGAGGGGGTTGGGTTTCTTCCTGTCATGGAAGTGTTTGTAAAAGGCTTTCTCTTTCATAAGAGATTTTCACATTGCTTTTTCATTTTTGTTTGTTTTGTTTTATTTTGATCATCTAAAATGACTGCAGGAGGCAGGTAGGCCTGGGACTCCCATCCTATCCTAATTTCATAAATATGGAAATTGTGGCTCAGAGAAGCAAAATGACTCTCCTAGAGCCATACAGTGGTAAGGGCTGACCTGGGATTCAAGCCAGGCTCACCTGAGCTGTTGCTCCGTCTCCTGCTTCCCATGACCTGGTCAAGTGTGCCCTTGGGAAGATTCCTCTCTCAGCCATCGGCTCTCCCCTAGTGCTGCCTCCAGGGACTGGCCTGAATCCTTTCTTGAGGGGGCAAAGGCTCCAGCGAGAGGAACACACTCCCTACCCCGTCACTCGACAGTTTGCACCAGGCTGTCCCCACACACGGGCCTGGACCATGCGTTGTGAGGCAGGTGCCTTCATCTGCATTCATAGGTGACCCCACTAGGGCCAGGACGGGCCTCTGACTTGCCTGAGGCAACATGGCTCAGACCAGGGCAGTCCCAGGCTCCTGCTCAGGTCTGCTTGATCCCAAAATACATGCTCTCCTCAGACCCCACACACTACCCTGCTCACAACTAAGGCCTTCTCCTAATGCCACGAGTCCAGATGTCCCATCGGTTATGGGACTCTGTCTCCTTTGGGGGTGGTCCCAGCTTCAGAGAAGCTGTGATGGAAACATGGGAGTTTTGCCAAGTGGCTGAGTTCCATAGACATCTCTAAGAGCCTGGTGGGACAAACCTACTGTGTACAAGGCCCGCTGCAGGCCCTGGGGACAGAGATAAAGGAGACACTGCGGTTGCTCTGTGAACTCCTGGGTCAGGATACTCAGGCTGGGGCTGTGGTTCTCCCACTCCACCCTCAATCCACCCACACCTCATCCCTGCCCGACTCCTCTCCCCACTTCACTGCCCTGCTGGGTGAAGTCTTTAACTGGGTGGGAGGGGAGGGAGGAAGCTTCTGTCTTTAGAGGCAAAAGTCAGGTCCTGAGTCTGTGCTGCACACAGCATGTCACTTGAACTCATTTAATAGCTCCATTTAGTGGCAGGTGCTCAGGTACAGGGAATGTCCTAAGTGCCGTAGTTGCCTTATCTCACTTACCTTGAATCATCTCAAATGGTTTGGTTATACCCATTTTACAGATGAGGAAACCAAGGCCCAGACAGGTGAAAACAGATCAAAGCTCATACAGCTAGCAGAGCAAGAGCCACTACCCCGGTGCTACCACTCCCAAAGCAACATCTTTTCATCACACAGGTTGCTTCCTGGCTTTATACAGCATTGTGCATGAAATAATGCAGTGAAGGGATAGTGGTGGGGAGGAGGAGTACAGTTGCCCCACCCTCAGTCCAGAATCTCAGCTGGAGTCTACACCTGCCCTGGCCCCTTTGTCCAAGGCCCTCCCCTGTGCTGTCACAGACTGTCCACTGCATGGGACTGGTTGGAGGTGGAGAGCCTCACTTGCCCTCTTGGACACTCTCCCCTGGCTGTTCCAGTCATTACTCTGGCAGCAATTCTGCCTTGAATTTATACAGTACTTGTCTTCTCAGTGCTGAAGAGCCAGGACAAGGCCGGGTTGGCAAGTCTGAAAGCCTCACCTTTGAGGGACATCCAGCCATCCATTCACCACCTGGCTCACAGGGGTTCTGTGAGGGGCCAAGCCTATGAAGCACCTGGAATGAGGCCTGAGAAGGGACAGAAGACATGTCCCATGGTCGCAGCTCCACAGGCTGGTCCTCCAGGGAAGGCAGGGATGGGGTCCAATTTTGGTGCCACATCCAGCATATGCCTGGCTTCCAGGAGGGGAGTGCAGAATTTTTTTTTTTTTTTTTAAATGAAAGGAACTTTAGTGAGGATCTAGATGGTCCAGGGTTTCTCAAACCAAGCATCACATCCCATCTCCCAGATTTCACCATCTCCACGTGCCCACTGAACTGTCATCTACCTGCCACTTTCTTCACACTAAAAACTTCCACCTGCTTTAGCCTTCTGCGAAGCAAGACTCCCTGGGATCTCCTGGATTTGGCAGCTGGTTATGTTGTTATCACACACATTCCAACTAATATGACTGTTAAAGTCGCTTACCCATTTACCACACCAGTCCCTCTCATGGACCCTTTGCCCAAGACCAAACTGAGCCTCAAGATGAGGAAGTCACTTCCTGGTGTCAGTGGCCACTCAGCGCTGGGGGCAGGAGCACCCTCATAACCGGCTTGCAAGTCGTGGAGATGTCTCAGGCAGAGTGCCCAGTGCCCCCATGGCCTCTCCCCATCACTGACAGTTTCCCACCCAGACTTGGCCCCATTTGCTTCCCAAACTTCCTCCCAACCTGCCTGGCACCAGGATCCCCATTTGCTTCACCTTCTCCAGGGACCAGGTCCACCCAAGTGGCCCCAGGTGGACAGGGGACATCCATAAATGGGTTTGAATGGTACGGACCCCACAGATGTGCCATGTGGCAGGAGCCAGCTAGGACTCCCCCGTAGTCTCTTGAGATTTCAAACACAGGGGCACCAGCATCAATCATTCTGACCCTAGGTAAAGAGATCTCCCTTTCAAGGCGGAGTGTTGATTTCGGCTTTTGTGAATAGACCGTTTGTAAGCTCCTTGGAAAGGAGGTCTCAGGCCTGACATTGCTGTCTCCTGAATACAGATGGGCATTGTTCCCTTCAGCAGCAGACCCTCCACCAGCAATATGGAATTTTAGCCTCATCATCCATCATCTGTGAAGCAGGACAATGACACCTGGGGTACAGGCTCCCTCTGCCCTCACTCATTCACTCGCCCACTCACCCAATCACAGACCCACTCACTCACCCGCTCACTCATTCAATCATTCACTCACCCAATCATAGACTCACTCACTCACCCACTCACTCATTCACTCAGTCACTCACTCAGTCACTCAATCACAGACTTGCTCAGTCACCCACTCACTCACTCATTCACTTACTAACTCAATCACAGACTCACTCATTCACTCACTCACTCATTCACTCACTCAGTCACTCATTCACTTACTCAGTCACAGACTCATTCATTTAACCAGTCACAGACTCACTCACTCACCCACTCACCCATTCACTCACTCATTCACTCATTCACTCACTCACTCACTCATTTGCTCAATCACAGACTCACTCATTCACTCACTCAGTCACAGACTCATTCACTCACCCACTCACTCATTCACTCAGTCATTCACTCACTCACTCAATCATAGACTCACTCGCTCACCCGCTCACTCATTCACTCAGTCAGTCACTCACTCTCACTCAATCACAGACTCACTCAGTCACTCACTCATTCACTCACTCACTCACTCATTCACTCAGTCACATTCACTTACTCAGTCACAGACTCACTCATTCATTTAACTACTCAGTCGCAGACGCACTCACTCACCCACTCACTCATTCACTCACTCAGTCACTCACCCACTCACTCACTCACTCATTCACTCACCCACTCACTCAGTCACTCACTGAGTCACTCACTCATTCACTCAGTCACTCACTCAGTCACAGACTCACTCACTCAGTCACTCATTCACTCACCCAGTCACTCATTCACTCACCCAGTCACAGACTCACTCACTCACCCAGTCACTCATTCACTCACCCAGTCACAGACTCACTCACTCAGCCACTCACTCATTCACTCAATCAGACTCACTCAGTCACTCATTCACTAATTACTCACTCACTCATTCACTCACTCATTCAGTGACTCACTCATGCACCCACCCACTCATTCACTCACTCATTCATTCACTCACTCATTCAGTCACTCACTTATTCATTCACTCTTTCATTCTCTCAGTCACACACTCAGCTATTTACTCATTTATTTACTCATTCACTCATTCATTCATTCTCTCACCTACTCACTCATTTATTCACTCACTCATTTATTACTTCACTAACTCATCACTCACTCAGTCACTCATTCATTCCCTCACTCACACTCAGTTATTTACTCATTCATTTACTCACTCAGTTGTTACTTATTCACTCATTCATTCATTCATTACCTCACTAACTCATCACTCACTCAGTCATTTACTCATTCATTTCCTCAGTCACTCACCCTATACATTCATTCATTTACCATGTTTGTTCCTTTAGTCTTTGCTCTGAGCACTTCCCACAGCCATTTCTCAGTGTACTGGTGAAGGCCCTGGGCTAGACCCTGGTGTACAGGTGGCCTGAGGCCTGGTCCCTGCTCCAGGCCCTTCAGTCATGGGTTTTGAAGACTCTCTTAGACTCTGCACTTACAACATCTCAGATAGAGCCCCACTCCCCGCAGGAAATGGCGAGCCTGACACACAGGCCTTCTTGCTTGTCAAGGTCTCCACTGCTTAGAAACGGCAGGCCTGTGAGATGGCCTGGGGCAGGCAGTCCTCAGAGAGTGAGTGTCTGGGGGAGGTGGGAACTGACTTTCACCCCATTTGTGCTGAGGGCAGTTCCAGTGCAAATAGTTCTATTAAGCCCTGAAAGGTGTGATAACCACGGCTGTAGTGGGGAGACCTCCACCTCTTCCTTCTATGGACAGAGGCCCTGCCACCTCGTGCCCTGCACCAGGCCCTGGAGCTAACAGAGAGGGAAGCTGAGGCTTCCCCTGGGTGAGTGTGGGGCTGAGCAAGGAGGCAGATGCAGGAACACCCGGTGAAACTCAGGCGGCCAGACCACCCAGGAGAGTGGGTAAGGGCCACAGGCCACAGCCAGAGGTGGACCGAGGCTCAGGGCTGCAGCTTGGGGGCAGCAGGACCTAGAATGTGGGCCCGAGCCTATCCGAGCCTCACTTCCCCACTGTGACATGAGACCTAGATGCGTGCCCGAGCCTCAGTTCTTCCCTGTGACATGAGGGGGACCCTCACGGGCTGCTGTGGGGATGCCGTGGAACGGAGCGTTCAGAGCCTCCATGCGCTGCCCAGGGGACACTCAGTATTCAAAGCAGGGTGGCTGCAGGACAGCTGCTGTTATGATTCTGTTCTGGGGCGTGGAGAGATTGAGGGTGGGTTGGGTGGGCGGGGAGGGGGGGGGCAGGCGCCCGAGGCCCAACTCAGAAGGCAGCAGGTATCAGGGCACCTGGAGCTGCTCCCTCCCACTTGCAGGCCCCTCTAATGAGCTTGCTGTATAGCCTCGCAAAACGTTAATGAGGCTGAGCTCAGACAGAACACGGGGCTTTGGCAGTTCCCGCTGTCAGTTCAAGGACAAAGAGCTCCTTGCAAATGCTGTCCAAAACAGCATTATTCACCGTTTACAAGGGGAGGGGGGCATCCCCACCACTGTCACCACGCTCCAAGAGAGATCCCGGGGCCATAGCGGCCAGTGTCTGCTGGGATTCCCTCGAATAACAGCAGGGAAACTTGGGGGAGGAAACAATTGGATTTGCTGAGATAATAACACGTTTGAATTATCGCCAGTTTCCCTCTGGGCGCTGTGGGTCGGTGACTTTCTCTGGCTGGAGAGCTGTCCATGAACCTGGCCTGGCCTGGGAGTGAACAGAGCTCTGCCAATTCCCCAGAGCGACTCGGCTCCGAAGTCCCCCCTCCTGGCTCTGCTCCCCACCTCTGTGAGTGCTTAGGCCCAGGTGTCTCACCACAGGGCAGCTCTGGCTCCTGACGGTTGACAGCAATGACAAGGCCAGTGATGGATGGCGGTGCTCTGGTTTCCAAGGGAAGAACCGGGCCCTCCTGTAGGGAGCCTGCAGACAGACAGCCGTCGCCTCTCCCCATGAGCCAGTGGTGTATACACCAGCAGTCTGCATTCCAGAGGAAAAAGCCTTCTTTCAGCCTGTGGGGTGCCCAGGACGCCAGTCTCCTGCCACGGTCTGTGTGACATTACAAACGGCCCTTGCCCACTCTGCAGCCAGCAACTTGAACTTCTTAATAATTTTGTCTTTAATTGGAGCTTTGGAAGGGAAGGTGGAGGGGCAAGAGAGCATATACAGGGCTGATAGCCCGGGTTCCCTCTCCAGCCCTGTGCCCTCGGGACGGGTAGGAAGCCCTTTCCATGTGTTTTTCTGTTGGAGAGACCGGGCTGTGGCCTGCGCAGGAGCCTGTGCAATGGTCTGTTCCACACGTGGGATAAGAGAAAGGCTAGCACTGCGTGTGTGTGTGTGTGTGTGTACACACACAAGAAAGAGGGATGCTGTAGAATCAGCACATGAAGGAGCAGTGTGCGTCTGGAAAGGCAGTGTGACCAGAAGGATGGGACGTGGCCCCAGCAGAAGAGGCGCAAGCTTGAGCTCTGAGCAGCTGCACTGGCTCCTGGCCCCGTGCTGCCGCCTGCGACCTCGGGCAAGCCCTCCTCTTCCACAGCCCTCAAGGACACATCCCACAGACGTTTCTTAAGGAAAGCCGAGTGCCCCCCGTGCAGTGAGGCTGGGGTGCTGCCCAGGTGGCACACTGAGAGGCTCCCCTGAGGATGCACTCAAGAGGCCAGTACCCACCGTCTGAACTCAGAGGCCCCAGTGGCCCTTTGCCTGGGATGGGAGTCTCCTTTCTCTGGTCTGGCTCCCCGGGGTGGGGGCTTGTCTGGGGTACGACCCCAAACTTATCCTGCTCATTGGCACCCAGCAGGCTCCAGGAAGGGTGACAGGTTCAGCAATGGGAGGGGAGCCCAGGCATGGATAAACAGGAGAGCAGAGCCGAGGCAGGCCGGGTCTGCACCCACAGGGTCTGTTAGTCAGGGGCTGAGTTGGGGCCTGGGGTTGGGTGGGGAGCACAGAGCGGTGGGCCGGGAACATGTGTACGTCAGCACCTCTCTCCACTGGGGAGGCTGTGAGGCTCGGGGAGGGAACAGCAGTGGCACAGGGCCACATAGCTGGTTCGTGAGTAAAAACGTGGCCTGAGGGACACCAACCCCTGGACTCTACCACTTCTGATACCACCCACTGCAGAGCAGGAAGAACGACTAGGGGGGTCCCCTGGGAGGAGGAGGGTATGGGGCTGCAGAAAGAGGCAGTGGACGGCGGGGACCCAGTCCCGGGCTGGGGAGGGTCCAGAGGAGGAAAGGGAGCTGCGGGCCCCTGTGGGGCTCCCAAGGATTTGGGGGCAGTGCTCTCATGGGAGCTGCGGGCCCCATGGGTTCAGGGTGGGGCAGTGCTCTCACCGGAGCTACGGGCCCCACGGGTTCGGGGTGGGGCAGTGCTCTCACCAGAACACGTGGTCTTTGGTCACTCGCTCTTTCAGAAGTGTCTACTTTTTCCCCAAGTCAGATGACACGTAGAGCTTTAGGGCAGAAAAAGGAGAAACAAAAACTTGGTCAGGACATCAGGAATAAGCTGCTTTTGAGAGATGGAGATGTCCCTGACACAGTGCATCCCCCAGGAGAAGTCAGCCTTGTCCAGCGGACACGTGGAGGCACTGTGCTCATGTTGGGGTGCAGACCAAACCCCACTGCCTCCAGGAGGAACCATTCCTGTCCCCAGTCCAGCGGGCAGGAGCCGGGAGATGAGGCTCCCCAGGATGAGATCCAGAGGGGTCTCACGGAGGAGGTGCGTCTGAGCCTCGAAGCTGGGAGGGGCTTTATAATCCTGTGTGAGGATACGAGGAAGGGCGTTTGGGAGAAAGGAGCCACGTGTGGCCAGGGATGGAGCAGTGAACGGACGGCAGAACAGGACACAGCAGTGGCCCCGGGCAGGGGCGTGGCATCCGCTGCAGGGATCAGTGCAGGTGCAGGTGGGCTGGGGCCTGACACCAGGGCCGGCCTCACAGCGTGTGGCCAGTGCCACAGCCCAGGGACCTTGCTCAGAAGGGCCCCACACCTGGGGCTTAATTCTCTGCAGCCACCAACTTGAACTTCTTAATAATTGTGTCTTTAATTGGAGCTTTGGAAGTGAAGGCTGAGGGGGCAACAGAGCGTGTGTAGCGCTGATGGCCTGGGCTTCCTCTCCAGCCCTGTGCCCTCGGGATGGGTTCTCAGCCGCCTGTGCCCATGGTCCTATCTCCACACAGTGACCACCACGGTGGTGAGTGCCAGGGCCAGGCCTAGGCCCAGGAAGGGGCAGGGGTGGGCGCCCTGAGCACTGCCTTGAGGCCAGCCCTGGGGGCCTGGGAGGGTGTCCCTGTGAGCCGGGGAGCACCATGTTAAATGGCTCATAAAGAATATGGTGACAGGCCCAGAAAGAGAGCACAGAAGAAAGGAAAAGCACTTTACCTGATAGTCAACATTTTTCACTTTACACTGTACCCCGCAAATGACACAGCTGGCCCTGCCCAAAACCACCGGCCAAGGCTGTATAAGATGAGGCGCTCAGGGGCTCCGTGGCCAGACAGTGTTTCAGAGAGCTCACACCAGAGGCCGTGGGTGGAGGCAGGGAGCCCTGAGGAGGCCAGGCCTGGGCCCAGCTGGGGGCAGCGGGAGGATGGAGAGGAGGACAGGGCTTGAGAGAGGCCTGTGCAGGCAGCTTGACAGGTCCTCTGAGGGTGAGCAGAGCAAAGAGGGTGAGAAGGTCCTTGGATCTGTGCCCTGGAACCTGGGAGGAGTGAATGGGGCCAGGGGTACTCAGGTCTGTGCCCTAGACCTGGGAGGAGTGGACAGGGCCAGGGATACTCAGGGAGCCTACTCCTAGACCTGGGAGGAGTGAGCAGGGACAGGGGCGTCCTCGGGTCAGTGTCCCAGGCCTGGGAGGAGTGAATGGAGTCAGGGGGTCCTCGGGTCAGTGCCCCAGGCCTGGGGAGAAGGGAAGGGGCCAGCTGGTCCACGGGTTCACAGCCAGGCCTCTGGTCTGGGGATCTCAGGTGGAGACAGGACCTTGATCAAGCTATGAGTTTTGGAAATGCCAGGTGAAGTTGCCAGGGCCACGGGCAAGGCCCAGAGCTTCTCCCCTTTCCATGACGGCCCTTGGGAAAGGGCCTCCCCCTCCTTCATGGAAGAGACAGTCCTGGAGGGAGCCGAGATCTGCTCTGGCAGGAGGGAAGCCAGCTCTCCGGCATAGCGGCGTGTGGGGTGGCGAGGACATCTCTATCAGGGCGCTCCTCTTGGCCACACCAAGCCCCACCATGCCAGGGGGGTGGGACTTCATAGCTCCATTCTCCATAGGAGAAACTGGCTATGGGTGCTGGAAATGCTACCCCAAATGTGGCATCTTGGAAACTGAGAAAACAGCAGAAGCAGGAAGCCTATTCTCCGTTCCCTCCCCTTTCTTCCCTGAAACAGCCCCTTAAACCAAGGAAGGGCATCCCCCGACCTTCTCCCACCCTCTCCCAGAAGACCCTCACGTGACAGGTGTCCTGCTCTAGGCCCAGGGAAGGAATGCCGCACCAGGATGCTGAGAAGATGCAGACGTACAGCTTTGCTAAGCCCCACTCCCTTCCCTGCTGCCCCTCATCTGATCACACCCCTTTCCCTCCCATTGCACTTCTCCAGGACCAGCCCCTGTCCATCAAACATAAGCATAAAGCACGAACTTCCTGTCTCTTTGGGTCTTCATTTCGAACACTCCCATGTCACAGGAGACGTAAATTACATGAATGTGTTGTGCTTCTGTCTGGCTCCTGTCTTTTGCAATGGAGGCCTTAGCCATGAACCTTGAGATGGGTGGGAAAGGATCTTCCTTTTCTCCCTCCCCTGGAGCTCAGCGAGCAGGGGTGCTCTCCGAGGCGGTGGTGCTGGGTGTGTAGCTGCCCATGACCATGATGGGTGCCATAGGCAGCTGCCACACTCCGGAGGCCAAGAGGAGGCAGGGTCCTATGTGTCATCTGACACAGGAGAGCCAGGGTGGGTCCAGCAGGACAGGCAGGGGCCCAGGGGTCAGGAGCTGTGACTGTGCCTGGGCCACCTGGGCACTTGGGCCCTGCAGCCTGGGGAGGCAGCTGCTGTGTGTGCAGCCACTCTTGGTGGACCTGCCTTCCTTGCGTGCCGCTCCAGCCCTTCCAGTGCCTCCTGTGTTCAATTCCCCCGGTGGAAGTTCTGGATGGGCCCCTGGTTTCTTCCCCCACTGACTCACCATCTGGCATCAGGCCAGCATCTGAGGGTTGTGGGGGTTTCGGCAGCCGCAGGAAGCCAGAGGCCATTCCAGGAGGAGGAATCAACTGAACATAGGCCCTGCAGCCGGAGGTGCTGAGCACACAGTGGGACTGGCTTCAGGGTGCCGGCCCCCCATGGTGCCAAGGCCAGTGTCACCAGCAGGCTGGGCTGATGCTGGGGGAGGGGACAGAGCTCTGACTTCATCCCTTAGGGTTGGGGAATTAGAGAAGGGTTTTAAGTAGGCGGCAAGAGCTTCCCTCCCTGGTGTATGGCAGAGGCACATGACAGCCATCACCGAAGCACGCCCTGAGAGTGATCCCACCGCCTAAGAAGAATGTGCCTTCCGAGTTCCCAGCTAAGGAATCCGGGAGTGGCCAACCCCAAGACTCAGCCCTCACCCATGAGGAACAGGCCCCGGCCCATCCCTTGGAATGCAGGCCCTGCGGGGGTCGAGTTCCTCTGTTCTGGGTTGGGTTGCTAGCGGGAGGGTGCGGAGGGAAAAAGCTACATAAACTGCAGGCTTCTTACAAACGAGAGCAGCTCTCCTGTCCAGCCCACTGCCACCAGACTGTCCCTGCATGTAACTTCCTCCAATAAACCCTGTGTCTCATTCGCTGTTTCTGGATCCCTTCTGTGGCCTCTTGGGCACAGTGCCATCCCTGCTGGAGTCAACAGGGGCCTGGCACAGCAACTGGGAAAGGCCTCTGCTCACTCCGGAGGAGATGAACAGGATGGCAGAGGGGCCTCCTGGAGCCAGTCTGACCTCCTCTTCTCTCTCCAGAGTGGCCAGGACAATCTCCTAACAGCAATGCCAGGAAGCCTGGGCTCCCGTCCTCACCTGGAACCAGCTACCTGGGCAGGCTTAAACTGGCTGACAATCCTCATCCTCACTCAGAAGGTCGGGATGATTCAACTGGATCACATGCTTTGGAAGAGTCCAGCCCGTGTCTGACACACAGTCCATCCACAACATGCGTTTGCCTTTCCCCGTCCCGGACAACAGGAGACTCTGTTCCTTTTCCCTTGCCTCTCCTCAGACTCCGGCTCATTGTTCATTTGCATTTCAATACGTTTCATCCCTAACTCCCAGGTGATGAGTGATCACAGACATTGGGGCTGGGCCAGCGATTCTATAACTGATGTCCCCAGTTCATCTTTGATTTGCGTTATGTTTTTGCCAGCTTCCCCTCTGGGGGTAGGGGCTGTATTGGTGCAATAGGGCCCACATTGCATTTATCAGGGGAGGATGGACCACGTGGGGTTTAGGGGATCCTTTGCACGCCAGTAGCATCTTACGCTGAAATCCTTGTTATTGAAGCAAAGCTCAGAGCCCACCGTGTTTTGTTGCAGATTCAGGCGTGGGCCAGGAGAGGGCGCTGGCCGCTGCACAGCTGTGGCTCATGGACGAGGTGGGCTGGGCTGGGCTGGGAGGGGAGAGAGGGCTGGACAGGGAAGCGGAGACCCGGGTCTGCGGAGCTGGCATCTGCCTCCGTGTCATGGCCGCTGAGTCAGTTCCTTGCCTCAGTTTCCCATCTATAAAATGATGCCCCAGCTGTAGCGTTTCAAAGGGGAGAGTCTGTGAGTCTAGGGTTCTTGGGCTCCAGCAGGCTTGGCTCCACTAGCACCCACCGTACACAGCGGGAGACCTTGCGTGCGTTCCAACGCTGTTCCAAGCCTCAGTTTCACCACTTCTTAAAACGGGAATCGGCCTCCTGCTTTGAGGGATGTTGTGGGATCATCCAGGCACGCGGCAAAGTGGTTGCACTTGCCACGCACACAGCACGTTCTGTCGTGATCACTGCCTGATAACACCCGTAATAGCAGGATCCGCTCCACGTGCGAGCACCAGCCGAGCCCTTTGCCTCTTGAGGCGCCCCTACAACATGGCTAGGAAGTAGATGCTTCTAAAAATACCTCGTGCAGGCGGAAGATGGAGGCTTGCAGCAATTGAGTGATTCGCCCAGGGTCACCCCTGTCAGACCTGCACTTGAATTATCCGTGGTTTGGACGCACTTCTCTTTATTCCTTCTGTGATCAGGGTCTGTCTAGAATGAATCGTTTGAGCACAGCAATTTCCATCACTGGCCCAGGAAGGAAGGAAGGAAGGCTCAAGTCAACCGCTCCACCCAGATTCTCCATCTGCATAACAGGCACAACATTCACACTAATAGCGGCCACATCTGCTGGATCAGATGCCGGCATGACTGACTTCTTCTGTGCCGCGTGCTCCTTTTCTGTTTCCACGTGTCCTTGTCATGGATGCTGTATTATGAGGAACAAATGACATCACGGATGTCACTGCTGCTGCAGACACCGCTGCTGCCACTGCTGTTCATCAAAGAAGGATGTGCAGAATCTCAGAAGGGAAACGGGTGATCAAGCCCAACCCTGTGTAGCCCTGCCTCTCAGCACAGGCAGGTGTGCCCCCTCCTCCTGGAAGCCCACCTGGGCCTAATCACCCTCTGCTCCTGACCCAGCCTCCAAGCCCAGTGCCCAGGGCCTTTTCCTCTCTGGGTTCCTGTCCTCGCCTTCCTGCTGCCATGTCTAATAAGTCACCATGCTTCAGATACAGTTGTGTACCCTGCACGCTGCACCCCTCTCCACCCAGGGCCATGGCCCCGCTGTGCCACACCGTCTCCAGGGACCCCTGCTCCCAGCCCTCGGTCCTGCAGCTGCAGAGTACACCTGGTCCTGCCACTCTCCACGCAGACCTTCCAGGAGAGGCGTGGCCTCCAAAAAAGCCCACGCCCTCACGTGATCACACAGCTCTCCTGAGGCCGTCGGACTCCCCTCTGGCTGCCATCCTGCTCACTCCCTGCATGCCCCCACCCCAGGCACACTCAGTTCAGGGCTCACTCACACTTGTGGCGCTAATGTGTGCACAGGGTCCTCTGAGCATCTGCACCTGCTGTGCCCTCTGCCTGGAATGCCCTTCCTCATCCCCAGTCAGTGTTCAAGACACAGTTTAAAGTCACCCTCTGGATCAGGCATTGCTAAGGCCACTGGCTCAGAGGCCCTGCTCCTTCTATTGCAAAGCCAGTGTTAGAGCTCTGTCTGTGAAGTCAGAGTCTGTGCCTAGGGCCCAGGTGCCAGAGAGGACGGGGCTGCAGTGCCTTTGTCTACCGCACCCTCATGTCCTGGTGCCAGCGCCAGCGCCAAGTGGGACTCGGGGAGGGATCCCCAGGCGTGTCCCCTCGTGCTATGCTCAGAACCCTGGTTCTCTGGCCTCCAACTCCTCAGATCCAGGACATCCTGTGTCTCCTAGTCCACTCCCATTGCTCCCCAGGGCTGCCCTGGTGCCTGTCCCTGGTTTCTAGCCTCTCTTCCTCCACCATGGCAGGCCCAAGCTCACATTCTGGGCTCTCCCACCATGCAGAGGCCAAGCCCCTTGGCAGCCCCCTCACTCCCCACCTGCCCTCAGTAGACTCAGCAGTTTCTAACCCGTCCCTCATCACCTGCTCTGCGCCCCCGTCTTCATCTAGGAAGGAGACCCCGCGAGGGCACGGGCTGGTCTGTTTTGTTCCCAGCGGTTGCCCCAGCTCCTGAAACCTAGGAGGGCCTCTACAAATACTCCCAGGCAGAGGAAGGCCGGGTCTCAGTTCCGAGGTCACTGCTGCCTGGGGGCGGCATTAGGCCCACTTTGAGGCTCATGCAACACATCCCCCTTCCAGGATCCTCTCCTGCCAGGAAGTGACTCAGGCCCCATTTCTGCCCTGATGACCCCTGATTCCTTGACACCCTCTCCACGTCACTTCCTGCCTGCACCACCCCCAGCTTAGCAGGGCCCAGCAGGAACTGGCTCCTGTCTCAACCAGCCCTGCTCTCCCAGCCTCCATGTCTTCCTCCTCCTCCTCTTTGGTCTCAATAAATGGCCTCCCTCCTTCCCACCATCCACCAGGTCCTCCAACCATAATCCCAGAAGTGCCCACCACCCCACCTGCCCCACCGTAAGCAGAGCCCTCAGGGGCCGGAACCCATCCCATCTCAGGCCACCCCACTTCCCCACCCCACCTCGGCTGCTCCTGCCTCCCCCAGTCTCCCATCTCAGAAACTTTGGCGATGAGACACTATGCAAGCTACCGCAGTGAAGCTCAAATGCTCAAGCTGCCAATTAGCCGGTCCTGTAGCAGCAAGGCTTTGCCACGGTTCACGCTTCAGAGCCGAGATGAACACACCCGGAGCGCTCATGCAGGCTGCCCATGGCAGGGTCCCCGCGGATGAGCAGATCAGAAGAGCCAGCCGAGGGCTGAGCCCACTGTAAGACTGGCCAGGATGTTGCCCAAGGAACCACGGCCAGGAGAATGCAGGTGTGAAACATAGCAAACCCTGGGTGGCTGGCGACCCCCTGTCCTCGTCCACATCAGAACTGGATCTTCCTCACACAGCCTTTATTCTCTTACCAACAGTGGATGAATTCCTGAGCTCGCCTTGAAAACTACAGACCCCACCATTGTCGCAAGTGCAATTGCAGCAAATGTCCCCTCCCACCCTCTTCCCCGCAGCTGGAGAAAAGCAGACAGGGCCCTGCATCATGGAACTGTCCCGGCAAAGGTGCCTCCACGGCGTCTTCAGGGATGAAGGCTGCGCCCCTGACTCTGACCGTGAGCGATGAGAAAGGCGGCTGGCTGGCTGTGTGGTTGTCCGGCAATACTTTGCGTTCCGGGTACCACGAGTGAAATCATCTCTGTCTTCAACAAGCCTGGGAGTTCACTTTTTTAGGCCACCCTCCTTTGCCGCCACCCGCTTGGAGAAAGCACCCACGACTGCTAAATTGTCTTAAAGAAAGAGGTTGAGGCCGGGCGCGGTGGCTCAAGCCTGTAATCCCAGCACTTTGGGAGGCCGAGACGGGTGGATCACGAGGTCAGGAGATCGAGACCATCCTGGCTAACATGGTGAAACCCCGTCTCTACTAAAAAATACAAAAAACTAGCCGGGCGAGGTGGCGGGCGCCTGTAGTCCCAGCTACTTAGGAGGCTGAGGCAGGAGAATGGCGTAAACCTGGGAGGCGGAGCTTGCAGTGAGCTGAGATCCGGCCACCGCACTCCAGTCTGGGTGACAAAGCGAGACTCCGTCTCAAAAAAAAAAAAAAAAAGAAAGAAAGAGGTTGAGAGTCTGTCTTGCTCAGCCCATCTAAACCCCAGCTAACCCGACTCCCACGGTTGCCCAAGCCCAGCCATTTGGATTGGGGGCCCCTTCCCCAGATTCCTCCCACCCTGGGCTTTGGCTCTATTGAACTACGCACTGTGATCTAAATCTGCTTTTTCGCTCTCTCGCCTCCAGGCCTTTGTGCAAACCATGCCCTCTGCCTGGAACATCCCTACATCCCTCTCATCCCCTGACTACCTCCTGTTTTTCAGGGCAGCCTCATTCCCAGCTCCACATCTCTGCAGGTAAGAGTCTGGGTCACCCGGCCTGACAGCCGAGGCCCTGAGTGATTGCCCTGGGCCCTGTTCCCACCAAACCCCCTCTGGTGTAGCATAAGTCACACTCCCCCAACAGGATGCACCCTGATCCCGAAACACACATGTGCCTCCTGCCCTGGGTTTTTGTCCGGGATGTTCTCTTCACATGGGATACTATATTAGCCGACGCGGGCTTCCATAACAACATACCCCAGAGGGTGCGGCTTAAACCACAGAAACAGATTCGCACACCGTTCTGAGGCCAGAAGTCCAAGATCAAGGTATCGGCAGGGTTGGTTTCTCCCTCCTTGGCTTGCAAACGCCACGTTCTCCCTCGTCTTTATGTGGTCTTCCCTCTGCCTGTCTTTTTTTCTGTGTAGTTTTTGATTTTTTTTAAGAGTCTTGCTCCATCACCCAGGCTGGAATGCAGTGGTGCAACTGTATCTCTCTGCAGCCCTGAAACTCCTGGGCTCAATTGATCTTCCTGCCTGGGAGTATCGGTGTGCGACACCACTCATGGCTCTGTCTGTCCTGATGTCTTCTTATAAGGACACCAGTCAAATGGATTGGAGCCCACCCTAATAGTCTAATGTTTGCTTAAGGGCCCTATCTCCGAATATGGCCACATTCTTTCGTACCAGGGGTTAGAACTTCAACACGGGAATTTTGGGGGACACAATCCAGACATATGGAGGCACATCTTTCACCCCCACCCCTGAAGTCCTCCCAGTCCAGTTCCAGCTCCAGCTCAGCTGCCTGCATCTTGGGGGCACTGTCCCCAGCCTTCCAGCCCTGTGTGCACTGTGGGGAGCTCATGCCTGCAGAGCTGTTTGCTGACTTCCTTGCGTCCTGGGTGTTTATCTCCTGCTCCTCTGCTAAGCCACTCACAGCTCGTGGGCACACACCTGCCTCGCTCACCTGAGGCCCCAGTGGTAGCCCAGAATCCATGGCAAGGCCCATTTGCTGACTGAATGATCACATTTGACTCTAGGGCAGGGGCTGGTAAATGCGCTCTGTAAAGAGCTGGGTAGTAAATATTTTCAGCCACGGGGGCCGTGTGGTCTCTGTAGCAACCACTCACCGTGGCCTTGGGAGCAGGAAGGCAGCCAGAGACAGTGGTACACAGACACGGTGTGCCATACACCCTGGGGCAGGTGTCAGCAAACCACGGGCTGTCGCCTGGGTTTGTAAATGGAGCTTCACTGGCACACAGCTGTGGTAAGAAGCCATCACCTTTCCTATTCAGAAAGGACTTTTTAAAGAACGTGTTCATCCCCTAGAACATAAGCTTCATGAGGGCAAGGAGTCTTTACTAAGCTTGTGGGGCAGTGCCTGCATGCAGTATGTGTTCAGTAAATACCTGCAGCTCCAGCCATTGGTTGTACTTCTTTTTCTATCTGGGCCTCAGTGAGAGAGGCTGGAAGCAGCTGTGGCCTTTCATGGAGACAGGCACTGAGCTGTGCTTGTTGAATGCCGCCTCACTTCACACTCCACACACACACACACACACGAACACATACACACATGTACACACACACATGCATGTACACATTCAGAAACACACCCATAAGATGGCAATTTTCCCTTTTGACAAATGAACTAACTGACGTTCAGAGAGGTTAGGTAAGTTACTCAAGGTAACACAGCACTCCCTTATGTCAGCAATTCCCATCTCACAGACTTGAGCTCACAGGACTGTACCAGGGGCTGAGGAGTCACCCCTGCCTTCAAGAAGGATGGCCGGTCACCTCCAGCCCTTTCTCTGTGTCATCTGAGTGACTCAGGCCAGGCACCCTTCTATCTCATGGCTCAGTTTACCCATCTGCAAATCGGGAGGGCACTGCTCATACCCACAGTCAATACGTGCATAAAAAGCGAGTCATCACCATGGGGCCCTGTGAGCAAGGCAATAAGGCCTCCACATTAACGGATGGCATTATCATTGTCATCATTGCCTTATGCGCTTGTGTTTATGACACCTGCCCTGGAGCTTTATGAAGCCTTTCCAACTCACTCTCCTCGGAGGGACTTTTACTATCCACCATCAATTGCTGCAGAAATAGAACATTTCTGCTTAATAAAAGACAAACACTAGCAAATAAACAAGAATAAACACATCCAGGACAGCCCAGTCACTGCAGCTGAAACCTGCATGGGTACATCCTGTGGAAGGGTGAATTTCATCCCTCGACACCTCAGAAAGCAGTGGAGGTGGTAAGCGAGGACACGCCTCCTACTCTCATATAAAGACAAAAAGATAAAAAGTCAGAGTGAAGCAGGACAGGAGGGAGGGAAAAGAGCAGCTTGAGGGCCCAGGAAGGGCACACAGAAGAGTGTGCCAGTGTCTCCCATGGTTTCTGGAGGTGCTTCAAGTCTGCCCTGGACTGTTAGTGGGAGTTGGATGTGATTGGTGGCACTCAACATGCTTTCATCCCTCACTCCAGGGTGCCTTGTTGTACTGTAGAGGCCTGAAAGCTGCAGTCCAGCATTGCATGGACTCCCTTGCAGCTAGATTTCTGGGTCAGGTGGGTGCACTTGTGCCAGGTTTGGAAGGTGAATGTGAGGCAGAGGCTTTTTCCTGCTCCACTGGGTCGTGTCTGCTGCCAGCAAGGTCACAGGACATGCTGCTATGTCCACCCTCCAGCTCCGGAGGGTGGAGAGGTGGTGGTGGTGAAGGCAGCAGCTGGACTCCACATTCTGGTGTCCAGTTGCTGACTTTGTGGAAGTTACCAGGTGCAGGCTGTAGCAATGGCAACATCAGCTGCACCAATCTCATGTTTTTGAGCTTGATAAGTCTGGGAGGTTCTGGTCCCCACCTTCCTGACAGGCAGAGGTAGAAGCTTCCTGGTGGGTCTACACCACAGGCTTTCAGGAGGCATCCTGGGGAGGGGGGTCCAGTCTAAAACCCCCTCCCTATCTCCCAACAATTTAGAAAGCACTGATCCCTCCTGTTAAATCCCTTTTCTGCTTATATATCCAGAGGGGAGTATTGTTCCTGCCCTGAGCCCCAGCAGATGAAAATTCTTAGAGCAAAATGAACACATGCTGAGTGAGGGCTTCTCATTGCTGAGAGAATTGTTCTGTTACTCAAGAGACGCCCAATCTCCTCCCTGTTCTGAAGTCTGAGGTCAGAGTGAGCCATCAACGTGGTGTCGAAGCTTATAGCTCTGCTGGGCAGCTCATGAACCTGCTGATATTCACAGCAGCCACTGTGAAGGCTGCACCTCTGTTCACTCCATATTAGGGCTCTCCTCACACCCACTGCCAGCACTTTCTACTA